GCGTTGGCGCAGTCCGTTTCGTCATCCGGGGTCGCTCGGACGACGTCGTCGACAATCGGGTCAAAACGCGCCGAAATTCAAATTTCACAAAATATTGACCCGCGATCGATCGTACCAAAAGGTTTACTCGAGCATTCGACAAGTAACAGCGGAGACAATGTGAATTGCGGCAATCGGCTACGTCGACTCTCCGAATTGCGAAGCCGGTGCGCGCAGGAGTGCGAATTGTGCAGAAGGCCACCCTAAGGCTCGGAAAGGTCCTATAGGGAATCCCTTTTGGGTTTCCTCATGTTGGTTTCGTCCTTCTAAGTGCTAGAAGTTGATACCACACACGCGAAACTCCAAAAAAGGACGGAAGCGGGTCGAACTAAAACGAGGCGGGACCCACTTCTAAGGTTCTAAGATAGTCGCAGGAAGACCCCTAAGGCTAGATCCTAACTCCTACGAGGAATACTAAACCTAACGAAAAATTGAGGTCAACAGGGGGAAGTGTCAAAACCATTGGTAGAAAGCCGACCCCTTGAACCTTAGTTGAGCAGCTCTGGTGGGGGTTTGAGCCGTGCTTAAGAAGGAAAAGGGCGGAGGATTTCGTGCGGGAGGAAGAGGAAGTTAATCCCTAGTCGAGGTGGCTTTGATGTTGTGCTTCGCGTGCAAAGGAAGAACAATGGCTCTGAATGAAGGTGCGAGCAGAGAAAGAGAGTCGAGTCTCGCGTGCCTAACCCTAGTCGAAGGAGAAGAAGAAACTGAAAGAGGAAGAGGGCGGGTGGCTTTGTCGAGAGGAGAAGAAGCCAAGCCATGCAAGAAGAGTGGAATGTAGTACTATATTAAGGTAAGAGTAGGATTTAAGTTATCAAATTATATAGATTTAATTAATTTGATATGTTATGATATTAATATTAAAGTTTTGTGAATTTAAAACAGATATTGTAGATGGTAGATTGTGGGGAGGACCATCGATTTGAGCAAATTTTGATAAGGTAATTTTGGATTTATATTATAATGTAATTAATGAATTTTATATTTATATTTAAGTTTATTCTTTTACTATTAATAGTAATGGTATTTGAAATTAGGAAGTAATTGAGGTATGGGAGATACAATTTTAACATTGAAGAGAGAGAGAAAGCTTGTGTATGGTAAAACAAACCAAACCTTTAAGGTAAGGATTTTTTTACTTATTTATATATTTAATTGTATGTCCTCAGATAGATTTTAAGTTTTCATTAGTAGAATTAGTGGTAAGAATTGGAAGAATTTTTTATTTGAAAGTTATTTAAAAGAAAAATATTTAAATAAATTACCTATATATAAGATTTTCTTTTAGGATGTGATTCTTATAATTATATGCACCTTTTAACTATTATAGGTGATAGTCAAGAAGTGAAGTGCAAGAATAAGCTTTTACAACATTCTTTTAAGTCAAAAATGAGTAATTATTTTCTTTTATGTATTAAATCAAGGTTTTATTGATGAATAACCCATTATTCCTTAATGTAACTGATTTTATAATCTTAGGCATTTTATGAATAAAAGAATTACTGAAATGAATGAAATGAAAATTGAAAAGAAAAAATAATGATTTCAATGACATTAAATGGAAGTAATTAAAAAAAATAAAACAAAAGGTTTATGTGATATCAGAGTTGACCCAAACCACAAAAGAAATACAATATTTTTGTTGAAATTTAAATTGGTTACAATGATGACTCTCACCCTAACAAGATACCTAGGGTGACGGTGAAGGGGGTGGGTAGCGGCTGGCTAGCAGTTAGTAGAAATGGTGGCGACATCCGGATGGTTGAAAGATGGTTTTGGCAGTAAGGGGAAGGCAGAGGCATAGTCACAGTGGTTGTGAGGAAGTTGGGATGTGATGACGTCAGTATTGAATGGGTTGAAGAGGTGGGAAGGAGCCGCTGGAGATGTGGGTTGGGTTGAATTAGAGATTGTGGCTATAACATGTGGGCGATAGAGGGAGTGAGGCACGGTAGGAGGGACAGGGCGAGGTAGAGGCGTGGCAAGCAAGTCGTGAGGGACTTATGGTCAACAACAAAGGTTGCAGGTGAGTCTGCAGCAATTGCAGGTAGAGTTTTTAGGGTTGGCAGCTGGAAGCAAGGAGGATAAGGTGTGGGATGGGGGATACAACCTGAGGGAAAGGTTGGCAGTAGTAACTCTGGATTGGGATGGGAGCAGTGTTAGCAGCATGAAGGTCTGGAATAGGGGGTTTACAACAGTGAAATAGGAAGGGTGGGGATGCCAGGAAGATGGCAACAAGCAGGTGAGGGGAATATGCAATGATAACTATCCCCTTGGATAATTTACAAGCCAAAACACCCATCGAAGAAGATTAACTCCTCAGACGAGTTATAGCTGTAGCACTTTTTTGTCTTTGTATACAACCCTAAACAGGAAAACAACTGGCGACGACTAGCTTTGACAGAAATTGAGCAAAAACTTAACTTAAACTAAAAATAATGTATTTATAATAAAATATAGTTGGAATGGGGTGGGGGGACCTTATGTTGCAACACTCCAGATCCTAAGCAGGGTTCAACTGGTTTAGCCTCTCTGCTAGACGCATAGTTTCTTACTAAACTAGTTGGGGTCGGTTCAACCTCAAGTCTCTGCGTCAGATTACCCTTAGATGATACTAACAGAGGATACGATGTAGCCGTGCACGGTAAAGAAAATGAAAATGTTAGAGGTGTACATTAGGGTGCAAATTTTTTTAGTTAAAGATATTGAAAAGGGTAAAAAATTAAATTGATATGAGAATGTTTAAATTTAAAATGAAAGCTTGTAGTTTTACAAAGTAATGAACTACATTTTTTTGGTCGTTCATGCTTAGAATTTGCTTATAAATTTAATGCATATTAAGATTATAATTGCTCACTAAATCGTGAAAACTTACTGTTGAATTTAATTCTCTCAGGAAAAGAAAAATTGTACATTCATATGTCTGACATGAGAGACTTAGTTTGCAGGAGGACTATACCTGATAGATATTATATTATGATATGATTGTAGTTTTTTTGCACTGTTTTTTTCAGGTTGTGATTTTCATTTATATATTGTTTTGGATGTCTACAGAATATATTATTATTTATGGATGTTTCGATTTTGTGTATTGTACTTTGTGGATTTTTAATAGCTTTTTTATGTATTGAAAGTTTCTAGAAATTTGTGGATAGTTATTTAAATGCTAATATCGTCCGATTGCAGTCCTTGACTTGGTTAATTCTAAGTTATTAGACCCGGTCATGTCAATAAGTGGGATGGTGGTGAATCAGGAATGTGATCTTATGGGGATGGCAAGTTTACTGCGCATGAGATTGTGCATGATGAAGATTGTGGGCTTTGAAAATTTGCGCAGTGGCCTCCCTTAAAATGAAAGAGTTTTATTTTGATTCTCCAGGCTAAATTTTAAGAAGGTAGATAAACCAATTGATAAGACACTACTCAGAGTTTTATTAAGTATGACTTGTTCAATTTCATTTATAACTCCTATTTCATATCATTATGTTTCCTCTTTGCTTTCTCCTATTAGGTTCTTTATTTCCATTTAAATCATCTCTCAAGAGTTGTTCTTTCTTTCTCTTGTGTAGTTGTGATAGTTCATCTATCCATTTCCAACGTTCATTTTCCAAACTATCTTCTAGTCCATTTTGAGGAGCATGAGCAATAATAACATTTAGAAAAACTTTATTGATAATTAACTATGTCACAAACTTTTATTACTAACCCTCTTCACCATAACAGTTTTAATTCTCTGTCTACTACTTGTTCTCCTTTGTTCTTGTTTTAAACTTCCTAACATAAAATAGATTATAGCCAACTCTAATGTCCTTAAATTTTGCTTGATCCATTATTCACTTGAAAGTCAGTGATATTGATTCTTCTTCTAATCATCAGATCCGCTAACATCCTTGCTTTCCGTTTGTCGTCATCATTTGCTATGTCAGCTTTATGATGCCTTTCCATTCAAAGTTTCTAAAATTCATGTAGCAGTCTCATCTTAAATTTAGATCTAGTCGCTCATGTTCACTTTTCACAACAATTGATTCAAGTTGTGATGCTTCAATTTTTAGTGACATTCTGGCCAACTTTTGCATATTTTTCACTACAATCGGGTTGAATTATGGTGTGCAGGTACAATTGATGTCCTGATAAATTTCTCTCTCTCACCAAAACAGGTTAGGTTATGGAGTTTTGCTCTGTGGAATGCTCATGCACTAGAAAATTCAAATTTAAATTCAATTTATGAATTTTAGCACAAGTTTTATAATTGGCTTCCTACCTAACAATCAACCTTAAATCTTTCTCAATCTAGTTTTGAGACTAGCAGCAATGGTTTGTCATTTACTCACGTGAAATTGAATCAAATTGCTTTGGGTGATGAGAAATTGGTGAGCAAACTCCTCCGAAACGATATTTAGATTCCTTAGCTGGTGATGATGATGAAAAGCTTCTAAGTTGGCCTAGCGATTACGTTTATCATCAAATAGTGAAAGAATGGCACTTGAGTTCCTGCTCTGTAAAATTCTAACAATATGGCTATTACATACAAATTAATTCTAGCAGCATTTGGGAATGAGTCGCATGGGTTGCATTTTTAGAAGCCAAAAAGTACTCAGTTGACTTTTAAAGGTAGCAGTCTTACACACAAGTTTGAGTTTTTTCTTAACTGTTAGTTTTAGTTGACATTGTTCTCTGAGTTTTAATAGTAGTTTAGGAAATGCAATCCCCGCGAATGTCAAATTACAGTTGATTTTCTGGTCACGTGGTTTAATATGCTTACCTTTGAATAAAATTCTAGTCCGAAGTTCCAAAATGGTGGTAAATGAAATTACATGCTTGCAACTAATACTAAAATAAACATGCTTGGGCTAAACCATATATATCTGTGCTATTTATTGATTTTTTTTCACCCTTCTCATTTTGCTAAACTTAGGTGTTTAACTTAGAAAGTGCTATGGAGCTCATCATCTTATGACATATTTTAGGTGAAGGAGATATTTAATTTTACACAAGATGATTTAACCACAGAAGATGTGCTATTACTAGACTGTCACAGTGAGATTTATGTTTGGGTCGGCCAGCATGCAAGCCTTGCTTCTCCAGAGAAAGCCTTTACTTTAGGCAAGGTAAGTAAATCGGCATTTTTAATTTCATTTTGTATATCTCTTAGCGATGGTCATATTGTAAAGATATTAACAAAGCAATAAGTCTATCATACCTGTTTGTGCTGCTATTTGTAGAAATTTCTGGAGGCAGACATTCTCCTTGAGGGATTACTGCAGAACACAGCCATATATGTTATTCCGGAAGGAAACGAACCTTCATTCTTCACTCATTATTTTGACTGGGATATCTCAAAATCACATGTATGATTGTTCTAACAGTTGATCCTTATTTTTTTTGGCCTGCGCTGTTACCTTTCTTATTAAGTTGCCCACTTCTAGATGCATGGAAACTCATTTGAGAGGAAGCTTGCCATCTTGAAAGGTTCAACATCAATTACAGAGGTTAGTTTCGGAGTTTACTTGCTGAACTGGTGAGTTTATGCAGTTCATTCTTAGTTCTAAAAATTATCCAAGGTTCAAAAGGCGCTGGGCTTATATTTTAAATAAATAATGCTCAAATTTTCCAGTAAGCATGTTGCCTTGCCAACCTTGCCAACTTACTTTACTGATTTGCATGGAAAACCATTTATTAAAATCAATTCCTTTTATTAAACTTACCTTTCCATGTTTTTTTTTCATATTGTTTTCTCATATTGAAGTTTTGTTCAACATTAAATTGGTGTCATTTAGATTGGCGGTACCATCATGGTCTTCCCATTTTTATGCCACTATAAAGTCGAACAGCCATCCTATGTTTTCATTGCAACATTATCTTCATTAGCTTTATCCTGATTAATTGTGGTTAGTTTTATAAATCATTATTCTTCGTTAATTACTGCTAATTGTTGCACGTTGTCACAGACAAAAAGTCCCACATCAGCTAAGTGTAGAGCTGAAGAACAATATTTAAGTCTTGGGCTGCCCATCTCTTTAAAGAGCTCTTTTGGGAGGTGACAAGTGGTATCATAACAGATTACTGTCTGCCAAGTGTGTGAACTCTCTATGGTCCAATGAGACCCTCATCGGAGCCGATTCGTGACGAGGGCGTCACGTGATTGGGTGGAGGAGAATGTCACGGACAAAAAGTCCCACATCGGCTAGGTGTAGGACCGAAGAATAATATTTAAGTCCCGGGCTGCCCACCTCTCTTAAGAGCTCTTTTGGAAGGTGACAACGTGGTGTTAAACTTATTTTGGGCAAATATTACTCCACAACTTCTTTCCACGTAACCTTAACTATATTCTTTTTCCTCCTATTCCTTTGTTTTTGATTTTAGCTATTCATTTTATGAGTGCATTTTCTAATCTTTATTGTGCATGCTCAACAACAACAACAACAAAAATAAAATCTTTATCCCACTAAGTGAGGTTGTCGGCCGTTTTATCGTTCAACTTGACTTTCGTAGTTTGAAAATGTGATGATTTTGTGATTTTGAAAAAAAAAAAAATAATTTAAATATAAATATAACTTTTTTTTTTAAGAAGTAACATTTTAATTTAAAATAGGTGAGACCAAACGGGTCTCATATTTTAAATAGTTTAGACGAGTGAATACGATACTACAGGTAATACACTTATCCCAAAGACATAAATGTATCACTTGTAATAGGGATTCAATCACCCAGACTAAAGAATTTGTGACATCCGTTTGGTCTGTGAAATATTTTTATAAAAAGGCCAACAAGTTCCCCTATCTAACATAAAAAATTAGATAGGGTTTATTTTATCTGGGTTCCTGGTTCCCTATAGAGGCAAGCCCCTATAGTTAATTACATCTTAAATGATCGAAATCACTTAAGAAAACTCTCGATTAAGATCAGGTGGTTTTGTTTTCAAGATTTCAAAGTTTAGGTTTTCACGATTGGACATGGGAAAATCAAATGGGAATGGCTCAAAATATGAACAATTATGAATCAAATTGCTTTGGGTGATGAGAAATTGGTGAGCAAACTCCTCCGAAACGATATTTAGATTCCTTAGCTGGTGATGATGATGAAAAGCTTCTAAGTTGGCCTAGCGATTACGTTTATCATCAAATAGTGAAAGAATGGCACTTGAGTTCCTGCTCTGTAAAATTCTAACAATATGGCTATTACATACAAATTAATTCTAGCAGCATTTGGGAATGAGTCGCATGGGTTGCATTTTTAGAAGCCAAAAAGTACTCAGTTGACTTTTAAAGGTAGCAGTCTTACACACAAGTTTGAGTTTTTTCTTAACTGTTAGTTTTAGTTGACATTGTTCTCTGAGTTTTAATAGTAGTTTAGGAAATGCAATCCCCGCGAATGTCAAATTACAGTTGATTTTCTGGTCACGTGGTTTAATATGCTTACCTTTGAATAAAATTCTAGTCCGAAGTTCCAAAATGGTGGTAAATGAAATTACATGCTTGCAACTAATACTAAAATAAACATGCTTGGGCTAAACCATATATATCTGTGCTATTTATTGATTTTTTTTCACCCTTCTCATTTTGCTAAACTTAGGTGTTTAACTTAGAAAGTGCTATGGAGCTCATCATCTTATGACATATTTTAGGTGAAGGAGATATTTAATTTTACACAAGATGATTTAACCACAGAAGATGTGCTATTACTAGACTGTCACAGTGAGATTTATGTTTGGGTCGGCCAGCATGCAAGCCTTGCTTCTCCAGAGAAAGCCTTTACTTTAGGCAAGGTAAGTAAATCGGCATTTTTAATTTCATTTTGTATATCTCTTAGCGATGGTCATATTGTAAAGATATTAACAAAGCAATAAGTCTATCATACCTGTTTGTGCTGCTATTTGTAGAAATTTCTGGAGGCAGACATTCTCCTTGAGGGATTACTGCAGAACACAGCCATATATGTTATTCCGGAAGGAAACGAACCTTCATTCTTCACTCATTATTTTGACTGGGATATCTCAAAATCACATGTATGATTGTTCTAACAGTTGATCCTTATTTTTTTTGGCCTGCGCTGTTACCTTTCTTATTAAGTTGCCCACTTCTAGATGCATGGAAACTCATTTGAGAGGAAGCTTGCCATCTTGAAAGGTTCAACATCAATTACAGAGGTTAGTTTCGGAGTTTACTTGCTGAACTGGTGAGTTTATGCAGTTCATTCTTAGTTCTAAAAATTATCCAAGGTTCAAAAGGCGCTGGGCTTATATTTTAAATAAATAATGCTCAAATTTTCCAGTAAGCATGTTGCCTTGCCAACCTTGCCAACTTACTTTACTGATTTGCATGGAAAACCATTTATTAAAATCAATTCCTTTTATTAAACTTACCTTTCCATGTTTTTTTTTCATATTGTTTTCTCATATTGAAGTTTTGTTCAACATTAAATTGGTGTCATTTAGATTGGCGGTACCATCATGGTCTTCCCATTTTTATGCCACTATAAAGTCGAACAGCCATCCTATGTTTTCATTGCAACATTATCTTCATTAGCTTTATCCTGATTAATTGTGGTTAGTTTTATAAATCATTATTCTTCGTTAATTACTGCTAATTGTTGCACGTTGTCACAGACAAAAAGTCCCACATCAGCTAAGTGTAGAGCTGAAGAACAATATTTAAGTCTTGGGCTGCCCATCTCTTTAAAGAGCTCTTTTGGGAGGTGACAAGTGGTATCATAACAGATTACTGTCTGCCAAGTGTGTGAACTCTCTATGGTCCAATGAGACCCTCATCGGAGCCGATTCGTGACGAGGGCGTCACGTGATTGGGTGGAGGAGAATGTCACGGACAAAAAGTCCCACATCGGCTAGGTGTAGGACCGAAGAATAATATTTAAGTCCCGGGCTGCCCACCTCTCTTAAGAGCTCTTTTGGAAGGTGACAACGTGGTGTTAAACTTATTTTGGGCAAATATTACTCCACAACTTCTTTCCACGTAACCTTAACTATATTCTTTTTCCTCCTATTCCTTTGTTTTTGATTTTAGCTATTCATTTTATGAGTGCATTTTCTAATCTTTATTGTGCATGCTCAACAACAACAACAACAAAAATAAAATCTTTATCCCACTAAGTGAGGTTGTCGGCCGTTTTATCGTTCAACTTGACTTTCGTAGTTTGAAAATGTGATGATTTTGTGATTTTGAAAAAAAAAAAAATAATTTAAATATAAATATAACTTTTTTTTTTAAGAAGTAACATTTTAATTTAAAATAGGTGAGACCAAACGGGTCTCATATTTTAAATAGTTTAGACGAGTGAATACGATACTACAGGTAATACACTTATCCCAAAGACATAAATGTATCACTTGTAATAGGGATTCAATCACCCAGACTAAAGAATTTGTGACATCCGTTTGGTCTGTGAAATATTTTTATAAAAAGGCCAACAAGTTCCCCTATCTAACATAAAAAATTAGATAGGGTTTATTTTATCTGGGTTCCTGGTTCCCTATAGAGGCAAGCCCCTATAGTTAATTACATCTTAAATGATCGAAATCACTTAAGAAAACTCTCGATTAAGATCAGGTGGTTTTGTTTTCAAGATTTCAAAGTTTAGGTTTTCACGATTGGACATGGGAAAATCAAATGGGAATGGCTCAAAATATGAACAATTATTTAAGGAATTCAAATGAAAGAAAAGTAGGGGATATCACAGATCCAGGAGAAACCCCGGAGATGTCCCAACTATCCTATTGTTCGGCTTTATGTCTTTGAAATGATGTTTATTTGATATTTCAATCCTGCAAATTATTTAAGATTTAGGACTTATATTTGCACGACGTCAGACTGTGCAAATAGCCTAAA